TAGTAGCTTCAAATTATCATGTTATAATTAATTAAATGTACCTTTTAAAGGGAAAAACTAGTAACAGAGGTTTAACCTAAGCCACACACCAATCCATGTACTCTATATCGCCACTCCTGTTTCGTTGGCAATTAATTTAAAATTTATTAAATTTTTTAGAGAATTTTATTAAATTTCAACTAAATGGGATGAACCCAGGGTAAAGTTAGCATTACAATTTTCTCTTTGTGTACAATTGCACTTCATATATCCTTTCTACAGCAGCTCATACCATAGCGAAAACTTTTCACACTGTGGCGGAATATCCAATTACACATGGCTTTTACCTTTACTGTACCTTACACAGGATTAAAACTATGTAAAATGGGGAAATACAAATTGTTTGTGGTGGGTGTGCGATGAGTCATTAAAATCTTGTGTGATTCATTATGTCGTGAAACATTCTGCCGTGCCTTGTATATTTTTGCAGAACTTTCTATAAAATTGCAGTTTTTTTTTTCGAAGTAAAAAATGCTTTCAGTAAATTTTATAAAATTAAAGTTAAATTTTCATTTTAAAATTTCTTTTCTTTTCTGTTTTTTTATTTAAGAAGATTTTGTAGTTGTAGTATTGTTTTCCGACTTTTAATGTGTTTTCGTTTAGTTTTGCTTTTAGTTTTGCGGCGTTCACACTCATTTTAGCCTAATTTTATGTGTTTTAAGTTAGAAGTTAGTCGCGTTAAGCTTGGCCCCATTACACATGGTCGCACTTTTTCGTTTTGTTTGTAGACAGTGAGTGAGTGCGGTGTTTGGTCAATGACACTTTCCAGTAGTGGTGCCAATGTACTTTGTCTTATAAATGCGTCACACCCCACCATAGTGTGGCATGCCTGCCTGTCTTCTATGATTTTTAAAGCAATTTTCCCAAACAACATACAAAACTTTCTTACTTACATGCGGCGGCGTCGTCAGCGTGAGTATTAGCTTCTTCAACACCAATCGTTTGCTGCCTGCCTGCCACCAACGTCAACAGCATAACCAAATGAGTTAAGCAAAAATATTTATTTACTCTGTACTTCCATATCCACTTTTTACATATTATATTTAAACTCTACATACTCTCTATACAAACTATATATATTTATAATATAAAAATAAGTAATCTCGATGTCGACCTCCTAGACTCAAACTGTTGCGCTGCTGCCGCCTGCCTGAATGCCTGATTTTGCTTTACGCTTCGCATTTGACTTAGTTGTTATTTGCTTGTCTGTCTGACTATCAGTCTATCTGTGTATCTGTCTTTTTGCTTGCCAACCAGCCTATCTTTGTATTTGTATCTTGTGGTTGAGTAATTATGAACTTTTGCTTCCTCTTCTTTAAATACTTTTACAGCAGCTTAACAACATTCTTCATGGGTTTTCACAACTCTTCTCATCGCCTGGCTTCTACTTCTTCTTTTTTCATTAGGTACGAGTACGAGTATGAGTACGAGTACTCGTATAGCCAGCCCTACTGTGCCTATACAGAATTTTACTTGCTTCTTTTGGAATTGCTTGCCACTTAAACTGTTGCGTACTGCTCGCTAAGTTTACTTATGTCAAGTAATTATTTTTAAAGCACATTTGTCTTTGCCTAACCAAAATACGATATATATAATTCCTTAAATGTCTTCCTCGTCTATTTTTGGGGCGTTTTTATTGTTGCAGTTGTTCCTGTCATTTTTGTTGTTATTTATTTAGCTGGAAAAGTGCTTTATGGTTTTCTGGAAATACTATTATAAATCGTTTATATTGCGTGATCCAATATTTTTTTAAATTTTTTGCTATAGTTTTCATTTGCAAAGTATTATTTTGCATATTGTCTGAAAATATTTGAGAAATGCCTAATAATGTAACCTACTATAAATATTTATTTTTATATTAAAATTTCTTTGACTATATAAAAATTTGAAATTGTTCAAACAATTCAAAAATTTAATTAAATTCATTACCTCTCTCGTTTAATTGTGAACGTGTGGAAATGAATCTTACTTCTGAGTTCAAAATATGAATCACTCAATTACTTATTATAATAAATTTTTATTTATAAATACGAATATTCTGGTAGCCTTCATAAATCTTTAATAAGTTTTGTTAGAAAAAAATTAAATTTTATCGTTATTGTGAAACTGTTGAATCGCATTAGTCAATAAATTTAAGATAAAGAGCATCTTTATGCATATGCAGATATTTTCTTTTTTTTTTTTTTTTTGAAGTGAAATCATTAATTATTTACCATATATACGTCATCCAAATTACTCAGACTTCTTGGAGAAATTTTTGTTAAAAATTTATTCATCCAATCAAAACGATGACATAATTACAAGATTCTATAATATTATTTCAGTTGGTACTTAAAAATTGAGTTAGATTTAATGCTATACTCGATAAGCAAGTCTTATGCAAGATTAAATGGGTTAAATGGTCCTGATGTACTAAGATTTTATAAGAAAATTAAGGAAGTCAAGACGTAGTAGCTTATTCTTTTACAATATTCCCTATTTCATTTACTTACTTTCTTTTACAAATATTCTCTATATTTTTTTTTTCTAACTTGTTTTCAAATATTCCTTATTTCTTCAGGACCTCCTCAAATATTCTCTATTTTTTTTCTATCTTATATATATTTTAAATATTTCTTATGTATTCTATTACTTATATTTTTTCTCTTCCACTTTCGGGTTTGATCACAATGATCCACTAACTGAGTGCCCAGGTTTTATATTGACCCTGAACTTTAGGATAAAAAATTTTATCAGATGGAACTGGCTGGAACTGCTAGCGAAACAGAGTCTTGATCCACTAACTGAGTGCCCAGGTTTTACATTGACCCTGAACTTTAGGATAAAAAATTTTATCAGCTGGAACTGGCTGGAACCGCTAGCGAAACAGAATCTTCAAAATTCAATTAATTTTAATTTCAAATTAAATGTACCGAATCATATGAATCCACTTACTATAACTGAATTACAAAGTGAACCATTGCATCCGCAAATACTGATTGGAATTGCTAGTGTAGAAACTTCAAAGCAAATCAAAGCTTCAGAATATTTGAATCATTGGTTTGTCTGTATACTTTTTTTTTGTGATTAAAATTTCAGGTTCTGGAGCTTTGTCACTGTCACGGCGTCATAACCATGTCATGATTACAGAGTCATGCCCTTAGTATATTGTTCAATGACAATACCTGGACAACAGTGGTGGATAGCCATTAGAAATTAGCACCTTAGATATACTTAGCCTTTCACTTTCTAAAAATAATGATTTGTCAGCTGATACTAAATTGAACCACTTGTAAAACATTCTTCATTGTACCGAACCATATGAATCCACTTACTCAAACTAAATTACAAACCATTGCATTCTAGATCGCTTCGAACTTGTTTCGATTTTGAAGCAAACCAAAGCTTCAGAATATTTGAATCATTGATTTATTTAGTGACTATATTTTTTTTAATTCTAAATTCTATGTAATATTCAATCAATTCCTGTATGAATTACAACAACCAAGTGTTTATAATAACATTAACAACAAAAGTTATTTACAAACTTTTCGATTGTGTTAAGAGAAAGGTGTTCTATTGTAAAAGTATTTTCTGTATCTAAAATTAAATATCCTTATAGCATTGTAATTACTATCTCTTCATCTAATTAAAATGTAACACAATTAATCATAGTTATCATAGATTGTTTCTTATTTTTGTATGGATGAGTTTCTATTCGTAGTTTATAATCGTAGTTTGCTAACTTCTATTGTTCGCATACCAAATTATTTCTCTTCTATTCAATAATAAGTATCTTAATCGATTTAAGATAATTAAAGAACGTATGATGTGTAGATGTTGAGTGGTTCTCTCATGTATAATACTTTTTTTATACTGATTGGTATTTAAGATTGTGGAGTTTAATTGCTTTAATTTAGTTAATTAAGATATAATTTGATTTTTTGTAGCTTTTCATATTGATTCATTTAAATTGCTTCAAATACAATTTATAAGCGAGAACTTTATTTCAAGAAATGAGTTTGATTAGTCATAGAATGAATAAAAAACTTCTTGAAATGCATATTCATGCGAATTATAATTATGAGAAAAAATATAAATATAATTGATTGCTTTATAGTATATAAATTTAATAAAATTAATGTCTATTATTTTCATTTAAATATTATGAGTATATTTTGTTATATTTTATAGTATATAGTATAGTATATAGTATAGTATATATTAGTATTATTGTTTTTTTTTATTTTGTGTATCTTTTTTATTTCGACTCATTAAAAAGTTTGTTTAAGATTGTATTCAAGTTATAATGATATACTAGTTTTATATGTTGTTAGAGCTATCTATCTACAATACATTTTAATAGGCTAGAAGTCTATCAGTCACTCAAAGACATCTCTTCTATTTCTACTTATCAACGTTAAAGTAAGTTGAAGATTGTATTCAGATTATGTTGATATTTGTTTAAGATTGTATCCAAGTTATAATGATATACTAGTGTTATGTGTTGTAAGAGTTATCCATCTACAATACATTTTAATAGACTATAAACCTATCAGTCACTCAAAGACATCTCTTCTATTTCTACTTATCAACGTTAAAGTAAGTTGAAGATTGTATTCAGATTATGATGATATACAAGTCTTATCTATTACAAGACTTGTCCTTCTAAAATTCTGTACATATCTATAATTTAATATTGATAGCTCTTTTCATCACATTCATTAGTTTTTTTTTGTTTTTTGTTTAGGTAATAATGATGTACTCGTCTTATACTCGTATCTTACAAGTCGTATCCATTCACAATCCGTTATATACCTAAAATTTGATGGTATATAACTTTTAATCGCATTCGTTGGGGTTTTTTTATATTGTTTAATAAAATTTATTATTAATATTTTATTGATTTTATAATTATTATGTTTTTATTTACTGCGAATCTATTTAAATATTAATTTTTGGTTTTATTTCATCTATTTTAGTTGGATCAAGTTGCAGAATACGCAACTACCATCAACAATGATATTATTGATTTAACCCAAGAATCTGAAAATAATTTGGAAGAATCTAAATATGAGGAAGAATTGTATCAACAGCAACATCAAGAACTATTACAAAACGAACCAATCGCCTTTGACGAAAAACAGCAACACAACGAAAATTTGTTACAATCTATGGAATATGAGCATGAACATGAACAACAAAATGAGAAACCACAGACATTTGAAAATATACTTTCTACAGATTTAAAAACCGAATTTAATCCATTTGCAGCAGCTGCAGAATTTATCTCAAATGCAGCAACTGAAGCAAGTGAAGTAGCTTCATCTTTCCTAGAAACTTTCACAGCCACTAGTGCAGAAGAAGTTAAAGAAGTTGAAAAAGAACACATTTCAGAACTCGTTACAGAACCCGTTGCAACAGAACCCGTTACGGAACCTATTGTTGAAAACTTAGCAGAACCTGTAATAGAAAAGGCTGAAGAGCCTGTTATAGAAGTAGAAGTTGCTACTGTGACTGAAGAAGTTATCAAAGCAATGACACCCGATTTAGTTGGCTTACAAGAAGAAATCCTTGGTACTACAGACAATTCTTTTGAACCTGAACCGCAAATTGATAATTCAACAATTGCTGATACAACAGCACTTTTAGCAAATTTAGAAATTTCATCTCCAGAACAAATTCCTGCTGATCCAGTGGTGATACCTGATGAAGCACCAATTGTACAGCAACCTTTGGTAGCTGATGTTGTTGCAGATAGTTCAATTGATAAAACTGTTGTTGCTGCAATTGCCGGTGCCGCAGTTGCTGCAACTGCAGCTGTAGTTGCTACAAGTAAAAAGGCTGCAGTTTCTGCAAAGAAGCCGATTGGTAGTATTACATCCAAAGCAACAACCTCAACTAAATCGAAACCAATCGATAAGAAACCTACTGATATAAAGAAACCTTCAACTGCAACTGGTGCTAAAACATCCACACTTTCAGCTACACGACCACGTACTGCTCCAGCTAAGCCCACTACGTCTACCACTGCTGCTGAAAAGAAACCTACGCCAGCAGTTGCACCAAAAACTACATCAATGACTATGACTAAGAGAACTGTAACATCAACAAGTACTGCACCTAAACCAGCACCGAAAACAACAACTACTAGACCAGCATCATCAACACCTGCTACAGCTACTAAAACTGCTATTTCAGCTAGAACAACTACGTCGCGTCCCACTACAGCTTCTACTACAAATCGTAAAGTGAATAGTACTAGTTCCACTGCTACTGGAACAACAACCACTACTGCGAAACCACGTCAATCTCTTGGCAGTGCTACCACTGCAACTAAACCTACGACTCTTGGTCTTAACACAGTAGCACCAAAAACAAAACTTTCACCACGCACTGCTTTGTCCTCGCAAACACGCAATTCTGCTACAGCTGCCGCTAAGAGCCCTGTTAAGCCGCTTACTAATAACGGTCTCGCTGCTAAAACAACAGCTTCTTCCGTACCGGCTACTCGTTCTAAACCAACTACAACCACAACGACAGGTACTACTCGAACTTTTAGTGCACGTCCAGCTCCTAAAACTACTACAACAATAACCACTACTACTACAACTACACGTCGTACTACAACTGGAACTGCTCCTAGCACCAATACTTTAAAAACAACCAGCACTGTATTGCGAAAATCAACACCTTTGAAGAACTTGAGCACCACAACCGGTAAAGTGAATTCGCCCAATAAAAGCTCTCCACTAAAATTAAAAACCAAAGACGTCAATAAAGCTGCTACAACTACACCATCTAAACCAATTGCTATAAAATCCAAAAAGGCTGTTCCCGATACAAAAACCAACGGTGAAGATGCAACAACATTAGTAATAGAATTGAATGGTGTTTCATCCAACCTTGAGAACGGTACACATGAACTAGCTACCAACGGTACATCATCAGATGCGTTTGTCGATGAGCCAAAGCAGCAATCAGTTGTTCAAACGGACCTAATTTCGGGTGACCTTTAAACATGGAAAAAGTTTTCCTTATTAAAAACTATTTAATAATTAAAAAAATTTATGCTTTTTTCAAAACTAACGATATACAAAATTCAGAAATATCCAATACATGTGAAAAAAATGAACATGCATATTACTAATATTATTAATAAATGTAGTAAACGTAGCTGAAAGAATGTAGTAGATCGTATCTTCAAAGTCAAATAACCGTTGAAAAGTTGATAAAAAAAATCTTTTATGTACGAGTGTTTATAAATTAAATCCTTTGTCCGAACAAAAAAAAAAGAAACAAAAATTAAAATAACACGAAAATATCAAATTTTTAATGTAACGATTTTGAGAGAAAGAAAAACATTTTTTTTTCGTTTAAAATTTTGTATTTATTGTATGATTTTATTTCTATGTGTTTGTAAAATTATATTGAAATTTGTTACTGTTAAAAAAAATAAATTTTATTAATGCTATTAGAATTTTGTGAGGTTTTAGTGTGACAATGGCTCATGTAAATTGCTGAATTGCTGAATTGTTGAACTTTTTAAAAATTTAACAAGAAGCGACCTTCAAGCACTAAAGCTGAACAAAAAAACAAGAAAAGAAAAACAAAATAAACGAAAATATGTTGGGTTTTTATTTTAATTTTAATTACTCATGTCTATTTATTTGCTCATTTTCCATATTAATTATTTTTCTTTATATTTTTTAAAGTTTTTAAAAAACATAATTAAAGAAAAACACATAAAAATGATAAAAGAAAAAAAAAGAAAAATCTTAAAAAAAATATAAATTATATATATAAACAATTTGCAGCCAGTAGATTTGGCACTAATATTTACTATTATTATTATACTAAAAATCTAGAGCAAAAAAGAACAAAAAACGAAACTTAAAAAAAAATATCTTTTATACGCGATTACTTAAAAAGAAATACGAAAAAGATAATGAGATGAAGAAAAAACTTTTTTTATTAAACTTTTTGAGCATAGTTTTTCGTAACTGTGCATTTATATATTTTTTGTACTTTATTATTCTGTTCCTGTTTGTGAAAAATGTGAAAAAACTAAGGAAATTAAGAAAAAATGATAAAAACTTATAATGATACAACAGAAAAAAACAAAAAAAAACCACAAAAAATATCAAACTATTTCCAGTGTATTAATTATTATTAATTTATGAAGTACTCTTCAGTTTTGTATTATTTTTAATTTAATTTTTAACAATTAATTTATAATTTTTGAAAAAAACATTTTATTATAAACTTTATACGCAAAAATATTAAAACTAAAAGTAAAAAAATATTTTTTTAATTTGTTTTATTTATTAATTCATTATTTTGATAATTTTTTTTTTCTTTTTGAGTATTTTTCCAATTTTTAATTTTATTCTTCGCAATTTTTTTTCCATTATTTCACACGAATTTACCTTAAAATGCCTTTATCAAAAATTTATGTTATATGCAAAATTATTTAAAATTATATTGCATACTTATTATAAAATAATTTGCCGCATTAGAGCGCCCTTTGCCTTTGCTTTCGTTTGCCTTACCTTTACCTTAAATATCTTTAATTATAATTAATCTTATAAATTAGCTTAACATTAAATTTATATTATAATTAAATTTAAATTTGAACGCATATTGTTAAGAAATTAAAATTAAAATTAAAATTTATATTAAATATTCATTGCTCATAAACAAAAGTAAAAGTAATTAAAGATTCATTCGATTTGCATCACCAAATTTTACATGCCTTGAGACTGAATCATATTTTCATTGTAATTGCTACATTGTAATGTTAATGATTTTATTGGTTTAAATTATTCCAACTCCCTTAAATTATTTATAAAAAAACGGGATACCATTTCACTAAAACAGCCTATTTCAATCCATAACGTACTGCGAATCTGAAGAAAATTCACTCTATAACCACTCTATAAATTCACAATAACCTGTAAAATATCCAATGTGTTCGGATATATTCAATGGATCGTCATCCATATATACCCAAAAAATTATAAATAAAATACGATAAAGAAAATACAATTATTCACGAACCGTTCTTGCTAATAACTCAAATAGATCAAATTGGATTTGCCTCTGTGGTCGCTTTTAGGTGTGACGAACAATCCGCCCGTTCTTGCAACCATTAGTAGTAGTAAACGACGCTATGTATGACTATGTTGGCTATACATCCGATCGCTCTTAGAAGATTAGTAGTAGTTTTGTGTTAACTGTATGTGTGGGTAATGTGGTATTTTAAATTAAAGTTGTATATGTTTTATACTATTAAATAATGAATAGATGATTACTTTTCTAAAGAGTAAAGAGCAATTCATGAGATAAAATGAATTGAAATGGGTTATAACATTAAAAAGTTTATCAATCAGAGAAAATTTAAGGAACGAAGTAAAAATCTTGTCATGATTTGAGATCCTGTCATTTTAACGTGTTCATATATTTTTTCGAATCTGAGTAGCTTATTTGGGGATGAGCATTAACAAGGCAAATCATCTGAAACCTATCATGCAATAGAACAGAAAAGAAATGAAATTGAAAATGAAAGAGTAAAATTAATATGTTCCAAAGAAATGATGGGGCCTGTGAATGGAAGTGCTGGGGAGAAGACAAAAGTAATAGAAATTGAATATAAACTTTGTCCAGGTTTAGGACGCCTACGCTATACTTTTAGTTTCATAAAAAAATATGAATTAACATCTATTAATAGTTATACTTTTAATATCGTATGCTGTATTGTGTTCATATATATATATATATATATCATTTATTACTTTCAAAAGAATTACTCAGAAGTATTTTTGAGCGAATTTCGGTGGTCAATACTCTTAACATTTTAAATTTATATAAAGTATTTTCGCAATTCGAATTTGAAGATTTTTTCTATACTTCTCTTAAGATTTTAAACTTGAGAAAATGAATATTTCGTAAGTTCATTTCTTCCACTTCGGAAATACAATATATTGCTTTTACTTGCTTTTACTTGCTTTTACTCTTATAATCGATATTCTGACTTTTAATTAGTTAGCAAAATGTTTATTATATCTGTTAGGTACTTACAAATAAGTTAAGTTTAGGTTGAAGTGGGTGCCTTGTGCTCAAAGTCCACTTGCGCTTGAATAATGACTCGTTGTGAAACCACGGATTGATATTCACAGGAGTACAAGCTGCACTGAAAGTCACGACTACTCAATTCAAGTAAAAGTAAACTAACCTGACAAGTCTATACACTTTGTCAAACCTCTAATTTTGCAGGATGAAAGCTGTGCCAGAAAAGGGCCTCTAAAGATTTAAAGCTTCTCCTAGCCAATGATGAACACTGACACATGAAGTGAGGTACAATTCCCGCCTTGACCGCAGATCTACAACTATGAAATTAGCTTAGGTCTATCCTATGACTTATAGTCTCATACCATGTCTCTCTAATATACATACAGTGACGCGTCAGCACCGATACCGCAGTGCTGAGCTAGTTATGCCTTAGTTGAAACAGGTACTGGTACGTTTCTTGTTCAGTTTTGATCTGATCAATAGAGGGGTTTTAGTTATACTCAGATACTTTTGTTCCATTGGCAACATGGGCAATATCAGACTTGAGGCAGTTAGATATCTAGTTTTTATATTAATTTCGAGATACTTTTCAATATTCTGATTTTAATTAAGCTCGCAAAATGTCCATCATTCGGTTAGGGTTTAGTATGTTTACTAGTGCTATATTAAGAGATCTATCTCTGTTGTTGATTTATTTAATCTTGCATTATATTAACATTGCATTAACATTACAATTATCGGTGACTATAGGAGTTTCTTCCTCTGAAGAGCTTCCACCTAACCTTAAATTTCAATTGCTTACACTTTCCGCCTCTGGTTTTTATACGTATTTGAACTTAAAAATTAGTTTTGTGTCGAATTTAAAGATAAATAAATAATTATCACCAAAAGTTTGAATTTTTTATATATTTATACAATTTATACAATAACAAAAATATACATAAATAAATTATTGAAATCTATATGAAAATGCATTAAAAAATTTTTTAATTCAAATATAAATGTTTATTAACAAATTAAATAAATAAAATAATATATGATAAAAGAAAAGAAAAAAAAAACAAGCTATTACCAAAATTATATACAAAATATACTTATACGACGATATCAATTTGTGTGAATGTAGCAAAAGCAAAAATATTTCATAAAACAACAACAAAAATAACTAATAAAATAAATAAATGTTAACATAACAAAATTATGACTAAATTTATTTCTTCTTCTTCTTTTAACTGCAAAACTTTCAACTGCTTAATTTACTGTTAAAGCAGCTCAAGAATAACAATAACAACAACAACAGCGACCGGCAATAAAAATATTTATTTAAAAATAATGAAATGGCAAAGTTTGCATACGAAATTACAACAGAATTACAACAAATACACGACGAACGTGTGAGTGCCGAATTCGGTCGAAATGCAAAATTACGCCGCTAAAAGCAAAAAACAAAAAGCAAAAAATGGAAAATGGCAAAGTAAAAACAAAGCAAAAACAAAACAAACGAATACTGTATGACTCATACCGGCAAGAAATTGCGAACGTGAGTAACAATTTTTTTTTGGGTGTTGCCAAATACGTGAAAGCAGCAAAAAAAATTGAGAATTAAATTTAAGACAAGTTTGCGGTCATTTCTACATTGGCACTTCTCTATGCGCATTAGGCTCAGTTGGGTTTTTGCTAAGTCAAGAAAAGAAAATGCTTGGGAAAATATTTTAATATTTTTACTTTATTTAAATTGAAATATAACATTGAGCTAAATTAAGCCAATTTCCTTAATGTAAAAACAAAATTCCAGATTTTAATCATTTGTCTTGATTGATTTTACCAAATTGTGTGTTTAGTGAGGTTATAATTGGTATGGATAAGAAACCAGAAAGGGGTGGCTTCATATTATATTGGGCCACAACTATTCTGCGGTCCTTCATGAAGCTTTTTCAAACTTAAAATTAATGAGTGGCTAAAAAGACCAGTTTAGACTGATTGAGTTAACACAATTGCCTGCAAAAAAGCTAAAGAATTCATGCCGTATCGATCAAAAGCCAGAACTAGGGAGCTACTTATGCTTCACAGAAATGGCATCCGACTTGTCACAGGGTCTCTCAGTGAGCATTGCGGAGTTGAAAAGCATCTATCGAACCTAGGTATTACTAGAAACGATATCTGCAGACTTTGTTGCGAAGAAGATGAAACAGCGGAACACATTTTGTGTCACTGTGATAGTCTCGCCAGACTCAGAATTCGGTACTTATCCTGCTATCTGCCTATCTACTTATAAAGGAATTAGGCAACGTCTCTTCAAAGGACATAATGGTGTTCTTAAGTGTTACTCATCTACGGAACTAAAGTAAGTATGTCACAATAATCCTCAAAGAATGCAATGACATGTTAACAAGTTCCCAACCTGTTTTAAAATCTAATTTAATGGATAAGAAGGTAATCGTAAACACTTGCCACACTTTTTAGTATAGTTAAATCCAATAAATCCACTAACTATGTTGGCCTTAAGGATGTTGTTGGTTAATTTAGGCCACAATTTGTTAATATAAGTTAAATCCACTTACTATGTTGGACTTAATATTGTGTTGTTGATAAAAAAAAAGGATGTAGTCTACAAATACTTAGGTTGTTCTTTCTAGTAATGTTAAGAACAATAGTAATGTTGGATTTTGTTTGTAGTCGATATAGATAAGAATGTAGTCCAGAAATCTTTAGACCCCATTTTTAAGTCTACTGAAACCTATTAATTATGTTGAATTTAAGATCATAGTTGATACGGATTGCACACACACAATGCAGTGCTATTACTAATGTTTGACTAAAGATCCTTAATTGGTAATGATAAGAATGTATTTCAAAAACACGGACTACATTTTTTAGTATAGTTAAACCTATTAATTATGTTGGATTTGAGATTGTAGTTGTTGATATGGATAACAATGTAGTCGACAAATACTTTGGCCGCACTTTCTAGTACTCATATAATAAACCTAATAACTAAGCTAGACTTATGGTTATAGTTAATAAATAATAACAGTGCAGGTTACAAACACTTAGACCACACTTACCAGTAATAATTGCTAAAGATGCAACAGCGAAGAAGGTATTTACAGTGGTAGTTGGAGAAAAAAGCATATATGTAGACCGTGTCTCGGTTTAAAGAAAAAAAATAATGTAAGCACCCAGAACAGGATACACTAATCTAACTCGAACTTCTTAGTTGCTTTAGTAAAGCTGAGAATATTGGGTAGCGGTTCTATAAGCTTTGACACTTAGAGTGTGAGGGTTTTTTAGTCCGGTATGACCAACTCTGAGATTGGATTGTGTTTCAGAAGAACTATTAGTATAAGTAAAACTATTAGTATTAGCTGCTTTTTATAAAATAACCAAATAAAATTTTTTATTTTAAAACAGAAATAAATCAAGTCACTCAGTCAATTGATCTACGAATTTAAAAGAAATTTGAAGCACCCAAAACAGAATAGGCTACTCTAACTTGAATTTTTTAGTTTCATTAAATTAATCTGAGAATATCGGGTAGACAGAGAGAGAGAGAGAGAGAGAGAGAAAAATAGAGAGAGAGAGAGAAAAAATAGAGAGCGAGAGAGAAAAATAGAGAGAGCGAGAGTGAAAAATAGAGAGAGCGAAAGAGAAAAAAATAGAGAGAGCATGAGGAATGTACATGCAGAGGACATTATAACCTACCAATCTCAATCTAGTTTATGCAAATGATGAGCAATAACAGCCAAAGTTCGCTGTGTTGCTCATATCGTATAGACATGATTGGCATATTGGTTCTATGATGACACCCATTGTGATCATATGGTACCAAATTGTGTTTTAAGCTGTGCTGAGATCGATTAGCACCCTTTCATATTTCACTGTTTTAAAAATTGAATTAATGTTTATTTTATACAGTCATTATTGTTATGAATTATATTATGTCCTTACAAATTACAAAAATGTTTTCATTGTAGTTCAGTAATTAAACAAATTCTATTTTTGTTATGCTACATTATTAAATATCATTTAAAGGGCAAATAAGGCAAATAGTTTTAAGATACATGTAATATTTTATTGTTTTTTATATACCCTAAAGAAATATTCTTTAAGGTTGAATATTAATATTAATTTATAATTTTTCATTGCGTGTCGTAATTTTGAATGCGACTTAAATGTAGAAATAATAATAAAAATAATCTGTCCAGTTCTAATGCTTCTTAAACTTCTTCGGATTCTGTTTAACTTTATGTGGCATTGATCTTTTTCGGTTTTGTGCCAGTAAAATTTGTTTTTTTGCTGAAAATGGTTCGATAAAAATAGGCCTTCCCTTTAGTTTTGCTTCATTTAGCAAAAATGATTTGCAATAGCCGTCTTCATTTTCGAACTTAATATTAGCGAACCCAGACTTTAAATAAATTCCTTTAATTTCACCACTAGAAGAGAATAAGCTGCGTAAATCATCTTCAGTTGTATCTGCGGAAGATTAATATTTATATGTATTAAATGTAAACATTAATAGATAAATATTTTTATATTACTTTGAGCAAGGTTTGTTACATAAATTTGTGTGTTCCTTGGTGCTTTATGGTATTGTTCTAACACAATTTCTATTCCATTTTTTGTCGTACCATTAAGTTTAAGTCCAGCTTTTAGACTGTCTTCTGACTTCAATATAATAAAAGCTAAAACTTTTTTTTTTCCACATACGTGAATTTTTTCGATGTCACATTTGGAGAATATTGCTTTAAGTTTGTCTTCCTCCACAGTTTCTAAATAAGAAAAAAAAAGTTAAGTATGATTCAATCAATTCAAAAATATATTAAACTTACGAAGATCGTTTTTATTGATGAGAACCAATGTACGATTTTCTGGTATATCTAATTGATTTGAACCGTCATTTATAAAGACACCAAGAATTTTACCATTCAATTTGGAATTATTCAATTTCAAAGCTTCTACAGCTTCAGAACGGTCCGAAAATATTATAAAAGCATATGAGTAGATTTTAACTTTTTTCAAAGTTAACTTTTCAATTTTACCACAACCTTCGAAATGGGCTTGGAGTTGTTCCTCGCTAGTATTGATGCTGATATTTTTAACATATATTGTACGATCTTTGCTATCCTCAAATCCTTTATGTTTGCTTGGGACATTTTGCACTTTTTCACCTTTTTTGTCTGTTTTATCTTTCTTGACTTTTTTTACTTGTTTCATCTCAACTTTAAGTTTGTTGCCTTTAATCTCTGCTTTATTATTTGCAGCTAAAGCGGCTGTGGCCTCATCTGGAGACGAATATGCAATAAAGGCAGTGGTGCCATTTGCTGCACGAAAGATGGTTTCTATTTTACCATATTTACCCAAAGCTTGCATGAAGTCAATTTCTTTACATTCTAAAAATACATTTTATAAATTATATTATGAAAGAAAATGTATATATTTTATTAAGATTATTAATAGTATTTTAAGATTATTTATTAAAAATTGAGAAATATGTGAGAGAAAAGAAAAATATATTAAACGTTTTAATGTGAAGTTCATTAACATAAAAAAAAATTTAAAACTATTTAAACTATCTTTGACCTAACTCAAAAGATATAAAAGATTTGACGTCAGAAGGGAAAAATAATGTTTTATATATAATGTTTTGATTTGAAACTACAGAAATAATATCAAATCAGCATTCTTAAGAAAATTTCAACTTATGGAGTATATCAGCACTCTTTATAGAAGGAACTACTTCCTTCTATATCAGCTGTATTATCATTTTTTTGATATTTCATTGTGTTTATTCATCGAGAGCATCCTCAGTGTTACAGCTCGTGGTGAGCTTTTTAGCTGCATCAACCAGCTTCCTCCATTCTGATTTTTCTGCAAACATTTTTCTGCAAACATTGTTTTTAAGCCTAACTTTTAACGAAAATATAGAAGTCTCTATATAAGAAATTGAATTTAACCCGTGATCATATATAGAAGTATTCAAAAATATAATTCAGTAAACAATATCTCACATGTATTTACTATAAAAAGAACTAAATATTTTTAAAGTGCATACTTAAAAAATGAATATGGATCGGTATAAAATTAAGAATAATAAATTATTTCCGTATTATAACGAATAGAAAACTTTTATTAAAAAAAACTTACTTTCTGGCAAATTTTTCACAACAATAACTTGCTCATCAGGTGTATCTGCTAAAATAAGCAAATTAGTTTTTAAATATTAAACAAATTAATAAAATAACTTACCACTTGATATAGGATTTTTACTAATTTTCGGAATACCTCCCTTAGCTTTTTCATCGGATTTAGCCTTTTTAGAAATTGGTAATTCAACAGGTGCTTCATCATCAGAATCAGCATCATCTTCTTCTTCATCCTCTCCCTCTTCATCATCATCTTCATCACTTTCTGCATCTTCAGCTTCAATTAAACTACTCATTTTTGCATCTTCTACTTCAGCATCCTCTTCTTCTTCTTCATCGTCATCGTCATCATCATCATCCTCGTCATCATCATCCTCATCATCATCTTCCTCATCATCATCTTCTCCTGCAAGATCAAGGTCTTCGCTGTCTTCACCGGTATTGACATCATCCTGAACTAAAATTAATAAATATTTTTTAATAACACGTGATATTTTAAATAAAAATGTATCGATTAATGAAATTAAGACAATATTTACACATTGCACAACACGTGGAAAAAAAACATTTTTCATATTATATATTTTTTACTTAAATTGAACAAATATTGTATATTTCGATATTAAATATATATATTTAATGCTTACATTGTTCAACTTCAGCACCAGAATCTTCATCCTCTTCGTCATCTTCTTCTTCCTCTACAACTTTTTTCGGTGGCGGGACTTTGCTGGGCTGCTTTCCTAGTTTTTTTGCAGGTTTTCCAGCAACTTTATTTGGCTTAATTTGTTGCTTTAGTTTATTTTTTTGTACACCGTTTGATTTTGGTGCACTTTTCACTACAGCGTTCTTTTGTTTCATTTTTAATATATTATTTTTTTAAATATATACAGACAATTCTAAACAAAACACGCGTCCAACTCAAACGTTGTGAACAAGAGAAAAAAATTATTGCTTGAGAAACACGTGCTTGTCAAATTTAGTACATAGTGAATACCGGCTTGACATTTTAATGAGCTATTTTTGTGTAATTGCACAAAATAAATGTAAATATACTTATGTAAATCTTCACAAATAATTACAAAAAAATATAAGTTCAAGCATTAGTTATTTATACATAATTTATATTATTAATTTTATAAATAAATTTATATATTATACAATTTAAAATAAATAATTATTTTACGAGCAATAATTGTATTTTACACATTTAAACCATAATAGTGCATTTTCCAACACTGCAGTAGATTGTGGTGCTACCATTTGAATAACAATATTTCATTAAATAAAAATTTAACACATTTATTATCTCCTTTATTTTTTTATTAGCTTTTAAATTTTTTATTTCAGTCAAATATTGTGACGTTATTGAAATAAATTCCATTAATTATAATTAATATAGCTGGAATGAGTTTCATTAATATAAATGGGTTTGTTGTAATATTTTTTTGACTTATTTTATATTTACTTAAATAGAATATAAATCTAACAAGATTGTTTTTTAATTCTTTAAAATATTTGTATAGCGAAATGTTATAAAACATTTAATTTAATTTAAAATTTTTGTTATATTTTTCGTTTGACTATTCGCTAATGTCATTACCGTAGTGTAAACACTTAAATATAATTTTGCAAATATCAATTCACACAGCAAATGTAATTAAAATTTTGATTGTAGTTTGCTCTTTTGGTTCGGTGTGCACAAAATCTGTTCACATGGTGAATCTAAATTTAGTTTCTATATTTGTTCTTGTAATTCCACACGTAAATTTAAATCCGGAACTTGCAGCAACATATTGTTTTGTTTTTTTATAGTTTATGAGAATTTAACTATCACAAATCAATTATAGTATTATAAATTTAATTTCAACTTGATTTTGTAGATATTATAATTCGCACGTAATTTTAGTTATCGGATTTTTGTGTAAAATTGATTAATAATATTATAAGTGTAAATAACACTTAAATTAATAGATATGTGTGCTGTGAGAGTAGGTCACAACCCATGTTCGATAGTTGTGAATTTTAAAAAAATGAATGACTGACTTTCTGTATGACCTAAGACGGCAGCTTGCAAGGAATCATATAAATAAACCAATGAATTCTTATATAATTTTACAGTTTATGTAATTTTTTGTCTATTGTTAAGGGCAGCATGGAATTTATAACTTAGAGCTAGTGTACGCTAGCCAGATACGATAACCAATACGATAATCGAAAAAATAGTAGGTACCGCTTGCTATCCATAACGGTATAGTGATATGATAGCTAATATTAATTGAGTTTTAATAATGAATTCCTTCGAAAAAGACATTGTTATGACTAAGTATTTCCAATTTTTGTGTAATAAAATATTTCATTTAAAAATGTTTCTTACGATAAATCGGTCAGCAAACAAACAGAATGTTTTGCTTAAAGTAAAATAAAGCTAATATGAAAAAGATAAAATAGACTTCATTTATCGTATTGAATATATTGTTTTCATAGAATCCAGAACGATATAGTGTGTTTCGTCCCTGTTCTATATCGTTCCATTTATCTTATAGTACATTCACACTGTCTCATTAAGGCGGTTTGTCATTTATATCAATGAGGAAATGATCACATTATAATGAGCTTATTTATACAGCTGATAGAACTTCTATAAACTTTTATAAATTTCACTTAATAATATATCACATAAAAAAATTATATATATAATTAATATATCAAATTATTTATATACAATTTTTATATCAATTACATATTTAATTAATAAAAAAAACAGATTTTATTAAATACTGTTTTTCTCAGTGACTTTATTTACAGCTCAGTTGATGTGTGTTCACATATTTTATATGAAATATATGACAAATATTACAACTCTTGGTAATTTCCCTTGTGGGAAATTTATTTTTAAGTGTTGCATTAGACAATTTCCTCCTTAAATGAATTGATTTATTGATAATGAGCTCATTTATATGGAAAATTTCTGTATGGTACATCATCTTCATTATTAGTTATAATGAACAAAACCGTTTATATGAGACGGTATGTTCCTAATGTTTACTGCGCCTTGTATCGTATATTAAAGATGCTGTAAAATAGTGTGCGGCAATGTCGTTTGAGTTCTAATGCTATAGAATGTAGGATGTTATTTAAATTGTCTGTAAAGACAGACAATTGTTTTTCACCTTGTAAATATTGATAATCAATAGTTTAAATTGTTTTAACTTTTCACGTAACTATGGCTTTATTTTATTCTTTGAAAGGTGTTAATATTTTTTTTCAGCCGATATTCAAAAAAATAAAATTAACCTACATACATATATTTATTTAACATTTTTTTATTTATTATAATAATTGTGTAATGCTTTAATATAAAATTATAAAATTTTTATTATAAATTGAATATATCAAGTATGTGTATATGTACTACTGCACTAATTTTTTAAATAAGTACAATATGATAATAAAAACTAATATAATATAATATATTATTTTATTTTCGTATTTAAGTCTAATCTGATCTTATGTCTTAAAATCTAATACTATATTACCAGCAGAAGATAGATAAAATAGTAACTCATCGAAAAAAAGTATTAAATATGAAAAAAATAAAACGTCTGTTCCACGAGCTACTCGTAGTAAAATTCAAGTAAAACACAAGTAAAATGCAAACTGAGAGCGAATAGTACCAAATTACGCTCTTTACACTGATTTTCATGGAATAGCTAGTGTCACACAAATAAACAATATAAAATTTTAAATTCCATAAATTCCACAGCTGATTCAAGCATCAACACAAATTTTACTTGAAGCAAATGTAGGAGTAAAGTCTGTGTAGCATTTTCAAATTTCGACAGGGATGTTACACTTTTCAGATACTCTCATTTACTCGAAAATTTGCTGGTAGAACGTACTTGTGATAAACAGTGTTACCAAAGACTATTCAATACATAGACTCGTTATGACTCAATTTTAAATTTTGCATCTTTATGATGCGAAAAGGGTTGGGGTGTCAAAGCATTTCATAGTCAACGAGTGTAAAGAAATTTGAATTGTTTTCGAGTCATTTTGTGCGCTCTGAACCATAGTTGTTGGTATTTTTATGCACAAACGTGCATTTAACGAGAGAGAAATGAAGAAGAGCAACATATGAGAATATCAAAACAATAAATGTTTGCCAAAATACCAAAAACTGAAGTTTTGTTTTTTTTGGTTGGTTTTCAATGCATTTGATTTCATTCATTTTAGAATTTTTTGTGAAACCTAAATTTCTTCTTTGTATAGAAGTAAACACCACTGCATTATTTTGTAAATTAGTATAATTTGTTTAAACTTTTATGAAATTTTAGTGAAATTGAGATTTTTTAACTACTAATTGAAATATCATTTTTTATATATATTTAAGCTTAGAATATTGTTATCTACAACCATGTTTAATTTTTAAAAGTAAAATTTTAGAAGTAATATTTTGCAAAAATCATATTTTTATCGCTTTTTTCTCTTCTATCTGCGACACCCAAAAAATGTATCCAAGTTTTTCTATAAAATTTTGCCTACTAATAGCCAAACGTTAAAGGTTCACTAAAATTTGTTGTTCCCACTCTATGTTTTATATTTATTTCAGATCTCAGAAAGTACTGAATAATTATGCAAAATATAACCTTCAATAAATCTCTTAACTTTTAACAATAAATTCAATAAGTAGTAATATAAAGACATTTCTTATATTTATAATTATATATATTATAATTCTGTTAAAAAACTACGTAGCTACCATGCATTATTATATTCAGGCGCACGCCCTTCAGTATGACCGAGTTCTTTAATATTGTATGCATAGCTGATTTGTTATAATTCTAAATCTGCGTATTGTTTTCGCAATAGGAAAGCAATAAAAAGAACGGACGACTATGATAATATAAGTGCATACTACCTGATCTTGTTGCATTATCGAGCAGCCCGCTAGTCCTTCTTTTATTGCGGTTTTGTTTTTAATTTTAACTATTTATTGTTATTTTTCAATAAGTTATTTTATTTTATTGCTTATAATTTACTGTTAAGATTTTTCAAAAACAACTTATCTAGGTAAAAAATTGTACCATATATAAATGGTGACTTATAATTTATAAATTTAGTTATTAATATCATATGTGCTAAGTAAAAAGTGAAAAAACGTCGGCAATTTAATTATTAAAAGTGTTTAAATTTAATGAACTTGTGAAGTCTATTTCAAATTTATAAATTGTTAGTTATTGCATAAAACTCAATTATTAATAGTGATTTAATTGTTAAGTGTTATAATTTAATATATTTGTTGAGACTTTTTCAAATTTATAAATTGTAAGTATTGCAAAAAATTTAATTCAAGTAGTTGCAATGGAAAGAAATCTAAACAAATTATCATTTAAACGGTGCTCCATTAATGGATGCAGAAAATCAAAAAAAGAAGATAACGAGTTGAGGTTGTTCCGGTTCCCATCAATTGATTCTGTAATGGGCCAGATTTGGAGGGAAAAATGTGGTTTTATTGCAGAAAATCCGAGAAAGAGACTTTTTATATGCAGTAGGCATTTTGTGGACAGCGATATCGGCACAAAATTTTTAAAAAAAGGAGCAATACCCGTATATCATTTATGTACTGATAGTGTTTTGTCGGATGAAATCATTTTTGATGAAAATACTTCAGAAATGAGTTTAAAAGTTGACACTGAATCGTTATGTACCAACTGTGGAAAACACATACGATTGTCGGACTTTTATAGGAGAAAGTATAATGCTTTGCAAAGGAAATTTAAGGCATTACAACAATGCCGTTCGCAAAATAAAACAAAACGAAATACTAGAAAAAATGTTGTGAGCGCAATTGAATCTTTAGAAACAGTAAATAAGGATGTGAAGTTATTCTGCAAGCTTTTATTAAGCGATCAGCCCAAGGAATACACTAGAGATGTAAGAAGGCTAGTACAAAATATATATTACATTTCAAGGCCTGTATACCAATTTTTCAGAAGTACTCTTAAATTTAATTTACCGCACGAATCTACATTGAGAAGATGGATGCCTATAAAGTCACTTCAGCCAGGTTTTATTAATAATGGCTTTTATTTATTAAAACAAAAATGTTTAAAGCTCACGCAAACGGAAAAAGATTCAATTATTTTATTGGTTGACGAAATGTCAATTAAACGAGAATTGCGGTATAATGAACCTTTAGATCTAATTGATGGCGTTGAAGATAATGGATACTTTAGATCTCCCAAATTAGCAAAAGAAGTTTGTGTTTTCGTAATAAAGAGCATTTTCTCTAATTGGAGATTAGTTCTTAATTATTTTGTATCTGAAAATGGATTAAATGGAGAAACTCTAGCAAATATAGTACTAGACAACATTAATATTTTAACAAGCTTAGGATTGACAGTTAGAGCACTTATTTGTGATCAAGGGCCTTCGAACAGGAAATGTTTTTCCTTACTAGAGATTACAAGAGATAAACCTTTTATAGTTCACAATGATAGAAAAATCTATTTTATGTTTGATTTCCCTCATTTGATGAAATCTTTAAGGAATAGGGTAATGGAAAACGATTTGCAAACGCCAGATGGAACTGTTAGCTTTAAAGTAATACGTGAAATGTATGACAAGGAAAACCATAATATGACAAAAATGTGTCCGAAGCTTACAAGGCAGCATGTATATCCGTCCTCGTTTGAAAAGATGAGGGTCAAAACTGCAACACAGGTTTTTAGTCATACTGTGCAAGCCGCAATTAGAGCTTTTGCAGAAAGCGTAGGATTCAAAAAAGTTTCAAGCGAAGTTGCTATATCTACTGCCAATTTTATTGCAAAAATGGACAAAATTTTTGATTGCATGAATAGTGGAACACTTTATGCGGATAATTCTTATCGATCAGCTATACAGATTGGTAATACGCCTTATAATTATTTGAAGGCATTCGTAGATTATTTGAAAAACACCTCTTTTCCACATAAAAGAGTTCATTTTATTGATGGTATGATAATATCAATAAATGCTGTAATAACCTTGTCTAATGAAGTTTTGCAAAAAGACACATTTTTTCTAAGAACTAAAACCCTAAATCAGGATCGAATAGAAAACTTTTTCCAATTAGTTAGACAAAAGGGTGGAAATAATAGAAATCCTTCAGTTGCTGAAATAAATCACAATTTGGCACATTTAATGTTCGCTCAAATTCGTCCCTTATCTTCATCAGGTAACTGCGAAATTGATACAGACGTAGTAACCGGAGATGGCAACCTAGATAATGTTGATAATGCTTTCGAAGAAGAGGCCATAGAAGAACTTACTGACGAAGAAAATATTAGTGCTACTATACTAATTAACTCGTTACAAGAACCAGTATTTGATGATTCTAATGTAATATTTGAAGATTTGGGTTTGGATACAATAATTAATGTGGAATGGTTGTCAACTAGATATTTTGTTGGCTACGTTGCCCATAAAATGTTGCCAAAAATTAATTGTGAATTGTGCAATTCAAATATTTTAAAAGAAAATGAAATCCTTACAGCTCCAAGTGAGCTATTTATTCACTATAAAAATTATGAATCACATTCAGATTTTGGAAGTTTGAAGGCACCCTCAAGCAGATTTTTTGAAGTTTGTAAAATTCATATTGAAATATTTGAAAAAGTGTTTAAAAATATGCCGCATGCTGTCCAAATAAAAGCACTTATAACCGAACAAGCTAAAACTAAAACTCCCGACTGGTTTACAGAACCTTGTTTAAATCATCGACTTCAGCTTCACAACTTTCTTATTACTGTACTCCTTCGGAAGCATTGTTTATGGTATGTTGAGAAGAAGAAGTCAAGTATCGCGCATTAAATATATATAGTTTGTCAACATTGTGTTTGCAAAAGGAACAAATGTTACAAATGTTTATTAAAAGTTTGCAAATAAATTAAATATCTTTTAAACATTTAATTTTTTTTTTTTAATTTTTGATTTATATACCAATTTTTTTTAAATCTTAAATATTGTTTACTTTATTCTCTAAGTTATATAACTTTCTATTATATTTTATATTGACAACTAAAGTTTTAAATTTTATATTTATTGTAAAAGATTTAATTTCTATTTATAATTTCATTTAAGCTTAAATCCAGTTTTTTGTGTTTTTGTTTTTTTGTAGTTTAGTTCTGTTGCATTATATTATATTATTTAATTTTGCACATTATTTAATATTATGTTTTATTATAAATTCAATATAATAAAATCAACTTTTGATTTTTTCATAATTCTACTATTCATGCTTTTATTTTTTTAATTTGTCTTTACGCCATTTAATAGGCTATTATTTGCTGCTAAAATTTCAGTGTGCTATTTAAGTGGCATTAGTGCATTCTCCAAATATGCAAAAACAAAAACTTCTTGTCTATTTCTACTATGAGTTATTCAAAATTAACACAAATACCGCATTTGAAATCATATGTTTACTATTACCATGTATGCCTTCATATTCTCTTTACTTCATATTTTCTCAGTAATGCCGCTCTGAGAATTTGAGTGAAAAATTGAGTCTAAAAAGGGTCTACCAGTAGACCCGCAGTGTGTTCAGCAAATTTGTTCCTGATGCACACTCTATGTATTAAATACTCATTGGTGTTACTTAAAGTAACTACGACATCTAATATAAAAAAATAAAAAAAAAATATAACATAAAAAAATAAAAAGGTAAAAGTATAAAAATAAAAAACAAATTAACAAAGTAAAAAAAAAGAAGGATAAAAAAAATATAAAAAGTAAAAAAAACATATAAAAAATAAAATAAAAACAAAAAAAATATGCAAAAAATATATAAATAAAGGAAATATATATAAAAAAATATAAATAAAAAAAATATAAATAAAAAATATAAATAAAAAAAATATAAATAAAAAAAATATAAATAAAAAAAATATAAATAAAAAAAATATAAATAAAAAAAATATAAATAAGAAACAAAAATATAAATAAAAAATATCTAAATAAAATAAAATTCAATAAAAAAAAAATGAATAAATAAAAGAAATATATAAATAAAAAAATATTGATACAAAAAAAATAAATGAAAAAAATATAAATAGAAATATAAAAAATAATATAATATAAAAAAAATATAATATAAAAAAAATATAATATAAAAAAAATATAATATAAAAAAAATATAATATAAAAAAAATATAATATAAAAAAAAATATTTTTGTTAAATATAATACATTTTCACATATATTTATATTATCTTATCTTCCATAAAGTTCTTGGTATGCAAGCTTATGCTAAATATATATACATTTTGTTGTCTTCTGGCGTTCTTGCTATATATTCTCTTTCGATGAGGTTTTCGATCCTTTTCTTAATAAACATAGGCGATGGCAGGAAACGTTTTTTAAGCTGTGACGTGACGTCGACAATGAGTTCATTATGCGCCATCCGTTTTCTCGCTTTCATTATTCGTACTATAGCTGAATCAATTTCATGTTTACGATCTTCGTCAACTTTATCACGTATTTGTCTACGATCGGCCTCCTTCTCATCTTTTGCTGCAACATTTAGAATTTTTATTTTGGTGTTTTTATGTGTAAAAGCGTCATTAACATAAAACTCATCGGTTGGATCAATATTTTCCGTTTGAGTTTTCGATCGCCGTGCAAGTATGCGCTGCTTCTGCATGCATAAAGATTCCAATGACCGCAATAAGTTTTTTTCAGGTATATCTGTTTCTTGCTGAATATCTAAATATGTCAGAACCTGACGATTGTTGAAGAGCATCAAAATAGACATTTGATGTGTAGATACTTGCAATAAGTGCTTTCTGCGTTTTTGTGGTGTTGTAGAGTTTACGGCGCATATGGAATCGTCTTTTTCATGATCAATCTTTTGTCCATAAAATTCGGCATTAATAAAAGCATTACCCAATTGAGGTTGCAGTACTAACTTTCGGTTCGAACGCTGATTCAAAAAATATATTTTAAAATATTCAAACGCTTCGCTAGCTGCCAATGGTAAATTACAGTTTAAATTCGCTGCGTTTATAGGCCAGAATCCCATTGTCAGTACTCGGATTTCCAATTCAACTTTTGGCAGTGATAAATTGCTTTTATTTACATGATCTTTAAATTCTTTGATTATAGTATTTGAAGCAGACATATCTTTGAGCATTTTATCCAACTTTAAAGTATATTCATATCCATATTCAATTTTTAATTTGGAAATCATATTCTTCTCGAATTCATAGGAAACATATTTATTTTGAATTAGCCGTTTGGCTAAATGTATCTGATAGTACCTTTCGAAAGCATCCTTTTCTTGTAATAACTTAAATAAGAACATTGTTTCGTCCAACACTTTCTCAAATTCTTGTTCAGTGATTAATTTAGCTCCTGTTGCGAGTTTATTATTAATGAAAAGCGATAAACATTCTGGTGATTTCTTATTTAAAATAATAAAATGTTCAATAGCAGTAGAAATACGTAGCTTAATTTCCACATCGTCATTGAACGAATAATGTACTAATTCATAGAATTGCTTTTTTAAATCTAATATTTTTTGAATAAACGTTATTGGACTAATTATATTCATTTCTTCTTCTATCACTAGCTTCCGTCCTTCATCAAGTAAGTATGCAGACATTGTGTCAGCGATAACATTTAGACCTTCTTCATTATACTGAGAAAACACTTCATACAATGTACGAAGATCATCCATTTTTGAATTTTCGATCATATAGGCAAGCCCAAAAGTTTCCATTTCGGCAATGCTTTGTATATGCTTTTTAATTAGTTCATCTTGGATTATTTTCACAATATGTGGTTTAGTACTTTCCTTCAAATATAGAACAGTACGATTTGATTCTGCTTGTATGTAGGCATTAACTTCTTTTAAATAAATGCATGCATTATTTCCTGCAAGCAATTCTTGCGATTTCAATTTGTAAAATGAAACTGATTTTGCTAAAAACGGCTTTTCAATGATTTCCTCATATAATGAATGAGAGTTGAAATCCAATGATAAAAGCATTTGGCATACGTTTTTCATTAATAAATGATTAATTACTTCACCGCATCGTTCGATTTGTATCATTTCCATAATGCAATCACTTAAAACATTTTTTAATTTTGTATATTTTATAATTTCATCTCTAAACAAAATTAATCCCAAGTTGAAAACATTTTGTAAATTTTCTTTTTCAACATAAACACGATCCATGTACATTAATATATCACGTATCATTAACATTGAAGTCTTATGATCGTTCCACTCTTGATTCAGTTTAAATAAAAAATTGTTGTTTATATTTTTTATTAGACATTGCCGTACGCTTTGCTTCAGGTGCTCAGATATTACTTCACGTACTCCAGAATACAGACGATTTCCTTGGTTATAAAGAATCATATAATGTGCGTTCCGATATAATCGTTCAAATGAAAACTTTGATTTGCTCTTTTTCTGAATCATCTGCATGGCATTTTTTAGACTAGCCCATAGAGTTTCTACACTTTGTTCAACCCCAGAGGAGTAAAAGCTGCTGCCGTGTAAATACATTGTTTTAGTATGGCACAGTGTCTTTCTTACAATAATAAAGAAATTTAATTAAATATAATCATTTAAAATTGTCTTTACTTATTTACTGTAAACTTGATTTAATTGTTGATAAATTTGATACAGACACAACAAATTTGTATTGAAATAAAAAGTCATTATATATGCTCTAAATTAGCTTTTTGTTTTATTATACCAAAAACAGCTTGTATTAAACTTTTTTAGTTGTTATAAATAGGCACTTTGTCCTTTCCACTTTTTCGTCCTCCGGTCACTGTAAACTCGGGGTTTCTAAAATTCTATTTGAAAAGTTTTCTTGAATGCCGATAGTCAACATTTGCAAAATTCACAATAAGGGAAATGTTCACAATAATTGATTGAACAATATTCAAAAAATAAACGAGTCAATAGTACACAAAACTTAAGATCAAGTTCAGACAGCCAAATTTCCTAAATTTCGTAAAAATGAAATTAAGTTAATTTCGCAACTGTTCATACTGCCCCAACTTAAGGCAATCATATGTTTTTTGTTTACAACTCAAATATTAAAAATTAAATACTCCAAACACCATTTGAATCTGGGAAATTTTAAAAGTTGATTATTATAACTATAAATGTAATTATGTGAATTATTATTTTGCACTATATTTTAAAATAAATAAATAGATATTTGTCTATATTCAAATTTAAAAATTTGCACTACTTTCAAAATATTTTCCCGGTTTTATTGAAGTTAACTGTGACTGACAGTTATTTAAAAAAAGTGACACTTTTTTGTTATCTCAACTTTATCTTTTGCTAAAAATTTATCTTACGCATAGTTGCATTTGAAATGTCCCGCAATTTAAGTATTCGTTTTAATGAAATTAAGGCAATTTTCCTTAATTTCGTTCTAACCTTAAAACTGAATTAGGTATGGAAAAAACAACATAATTTCACTGAAACGAAGATGATATTAAGATTTTTGCGATATTAAGGCGTGTCTGAACATAATATAATACATAACAATTAATTTTTCTTGTACTGGATTCACATAAGATTTTTTGTTTGTAATTTTAGCTATTAATTGTAACTGTTTTAAATACAAAATGGAAATTTTTGATAGCTAACATTCATGTGATGTGGTCTTTCAGCTGCAACGAGGCTAAAGTACTAGTGTCTTAAGAAACAGCTGCCACATTGTAGCTTATGGGGAACAATGAATTTTTAATTTCAGAAGTAAACTAGGAGAAATTTTTTATTGGATAATGCTTTGTTTGGAAGCTGTGATCAACTTATTGGTAGTCAAAAACGACATAAAAGTTTAAAATTTCTCTCAAATTATATCGGTACATATCATAACATCTATTTCACACCGAATATACTCTCTACAAAAAAAAGAAAACATCTGAAAAATTTTGACATTACTCGTTTTTGGCAGCTGCGAAGTGTGACCACAAATTCCACATATGTTATGTGAACATAATTCAAGTAAACTAAAATTTGTGTAGTTTGAATAGTACTTTATATTAAACAATTAATATAAATTTGAAAATTAAAATAAATTAAAAGTAATTTTAAGAATACAGAAAATTTCGAAATTTCCTTTTATAACAAAATTAAAAACAGTTTAGAATATTTATGCGTTAATAAGTATAAATTTGTTAGTTAGTTGCTAAGTTACAAATTTAAAATACTTTTTAAATATATATTTTTCATGTATTCCTATATATTTTTAAAAAAATTTATTTTACACAATTTTTAAATACAGGCAGAAATCAGTCATTAACCTCTCATTTGTGATTTTTGACTCAAAGCAGTCATTTGAAACCAGTGTAAACACCATATAAGATGTTTGGCCACTTCGTAATTAGTCGTTTAGTTAGAGAATGTATTGTTCTTATTTTTTGTTTTTGTCACATTTCGGAGCTATCGCATACACCTATTGTGCACTCATTTTACGTTAATTTTTCGCGTGATATATATGTTAGTACTGAGTTTGATGTAAAAGTTATTTTAATGAGAACCTTTTAATATGTCGGTTGTGAAATTATGGAATCCTAAAAATCATACTTTAATTATAATAAAAATATAATTATAAAAAATTAACAAAAACTTTTTTTAATCTTATTAATAAAAAAAAATTTAATAAAATTATTTACAAATTTGTGTAAATTCATGTTTGCATTAAATGGCAACACCGTACAGTATACACAAAATATTTCGTGGTAATCTAAATTTTTTTTATTGAAATGACGTTTAGTTCGTGTCATTTTTTATGTTATATTTTGGGTGTATCGTTCACACTGAGCGCAGAGGATTATAAATGAATATTAAAGGCATTATTAAATAATTTTTTATATATATAAATTATGTGTTTATGTAAATATTAAATAAAAAAGTGCAATGATAAATGAACGGTTATAAGGACGCCCGGTATTGAATATAAAAGAGGAGTAAGAAAAACAAATTACACAAACGAAAATAAGACAAAACATAAGCAACAATTCGTCACAGTCATTTTTTGAGAAGTATTCGTCATAGTGGTAAAAGCAGAAGTTTTACATTCTTCGAAAGAGCAAACTAAAGTGTAGCAAATATAGCAATAGACGCAGTAGAAGTAGCAGTACCAATGAACACGCTTTCCGCGGCAGCAGCGAGGCCGTCACCTTCAGATGAAAATGTCGGTGGGGGTGGTGATAATGATGCAAGTTCTAGACGACAAGCAACGCGTGTCTTTAAAAAATCCTCTTCAAATGGCAAAATCACAGTGTACCTGGGCAAACGAGATTTCGTTGATCACATAACACATGTAGATCCCATCGATGGTGTTGTATTTATAGATCCCGAATATGTTAAAGATCGCAAAGTATTTGGACAAGTGCTTGCCGCTTTTCGTTATGGTCGGGAAGATTTAGATGTGTTAGGTCTCACATTTCGAAAAGATTTATACCTAGCGCACGAACAAATTTATCCAGCACCAACACCAGAACGTCCGTTAACGCGCCTACAAGAAAGGCTCATTAAAAAATTGGGCCCCAATGCATATCCTTTTTATTTCGAAGTTCCTCCTTACTGTCCGGCTTCAGTGTCGTTACAGCCAGCGCCAGGTGATACAGGCAAATCATGTGGAGTCGATTATGAGCTCAAGGCATTTGTGGGTAAGTGCATAATTAAAGTACAATAATAATACTTTTTATTTTTTATTTTATTTTTATTTTTTTGTTTTTACTTTTTTTATTACTTGCAAAGTATCAAAGTCAAGTTTACATAACTTTAGAATCCAATATCTATAATATTAGTACTAATATTAAAAGTTAATAAATGCAGGTCATCACCAAAGTCAAACTCATTTGCTAGATTGTTGATAGTACTTGCCCCCGACCCCCAAATTAATTAATAAAATTTGACGTCGGAATTTTTCATCAAAATCGCCTTGCAGCTCAACTTGATCGCTTCATGTGATGCTGTCGTTACATATTGCTTTTCTGCTGCTTGGCTTTGGATGTGTTTCTGATGAGTTGTCAACGTTTGCAGCGAAATTCACAGCATTTTTATGGCCATGTGTGCACGGTGTGCGCAAATCAGAATTAATTTGTTTACTATATAAAGAAAATAGCAAACAAACAACAAAAACAACAAAAAGTGTTAAAAAACACCGAAGACAACACAGCTAAAATGGCATTTCCATTATTGACAAAGTTCAACGCTTGCTTTTAATGAGAAATTCACGACTTTAATTGTTGCATGGCGAATTTTACAAGTAAATGCACTTCACTTTGCAAACCTCTGGCCACTGTGGTTAGAAAAATTTGGTTAATCGTGCAAACATTAAATTAACAATTTTAATGACGTTGCTTTTTTCCATTTTTATTTCTGTTTATATATAAAATTTTATATACTTTCTGAAGCAACTTCTCAAATTTGCTTTATGTAAGCAATATTAACGTAAAAGCATATTTCATTTCGCTGCAAATAAATTCTGAGAAACAATTATACACACAAAAAAAGTATTCTTTTTCAAATAAATTCAAAATCACAAAATAAAGAACAACAAAAAGAAAAAAAAATTAAAAACCCCACAAACCGTTAAAAACTTTTTGCTGAGCGGGGTGCGTTGGTTGCTCAATACTCGTAAGCATTTGCTTTGGGTGCCATGGGTGGGTGCTGTGTTGTGCCGGTAATGGCCATATGCACACAAACAGAAAACTAAAAAGTCGCATACAACTCACTCGCAATCAAGAGCCAGCAATTGTATATTGCCCGCATGTTTGGGCTGTCACTGCTGGTACCATTCTAAAACGCCACTAATCTAATGCGAAATTGAAGCTATTAAATTAAAATACCATATGCACGCTATAGTCAGTCGATTTATATAAAGAACTAAATATATATATGTATGTATATTGTAGAGTATAATCAGATGTTAACAAATATAAGCAATAGAAAATGGATCTTTTTGGATTAAATATACATATTTTTTTTTTTAAATACTTATACATATATTTATTGTATCTTCTCTTACAATATTTAATCTTTTAACTCATAGGATGGGCATAGGGCCGCATCTTCTCTTACAATGCGACTTCCAAAAAGTTTTAAAATCTTACCACTAAGTACATAATATTAAAATTTTTGTTTTAACTATACATTGTATAAAATAAAATAAAATAAGTAAATCTTATACCACGAACCTCACTTAGATCAAAGGGTTAAATTTCATTGGACTGAATGTTAGGTGGTTTATTAAGAAAGCGGTTCAACTTTAACAGATTAGTAAAAAAAAAGATGTGGGAAGTAATGTATAGAAGTGCGAGTTTCCTTCCTAAAGGATTAACATGTTCTGTCAGCCTTTTATTGTATTTTTTTTTTATATATACATATGAAGAACTACATATATATATCTATATTATAGCGTATAATCGGATATTAATAAATATGAATAATAGAAAATGGATCCATTTCGGTTTTAGTTTATGAAAGTGCTATATTTCTGATGAGAGATGACTTATATAAGTTCAAAATACACTGTACCACCTCTCTTATTCGTTATATTGAACGCAAGCCTTTGGAAACATTGCGGTTTCTGCTTAATAATAGCGCAAATATTTTTTACTTACAGTAAGGGCTGTATTACGCAAAAAGTCATGTGTTCCTTAAAATTGACACTTTTATGTTATGACGAAAATGCAATTTATGCAGATCGGGATTACGTCCCGTAGCAACTTATAGAGTTTGATTACAAAATGCCGTTGGCCACACCCAAAGCAGACTACACATTTTTTAGGACTAAAATAAAATCCTGTTTCTCTTTTTAATTAATTAAATTTTAATCGATTAATTAATTCATTTAAAAGAATTTTTCTATGAATGGTGTTATTGTAATCACTGTCATTGCATTGTTCTTGAAATATTCCGCTTGGTTTACTTGTCCTGCGAGAGGTAAAATTCCCAGGAAGTGGTGGTACTCGGTTGTCGTGGATGAGTGAGATTGGAACGTAGACCCAGTAGCATGAATAGATAGTTTTAAGCGATTTAAATTATTATTCAAATTTTAAAATTATATGTCTCTATATAGAGCAAAGTTCTTTCATTTTGTATTTCGTTTGTAGAGGCATCAGTTATATTTATGTCAGAAGTTTAGATTTTGTACGAAAGATATTATATGGATTATGTTGGCATATATATTTTATTAAAAGATTATAAAATGAAATATATGATAATGTAAAAGAGTTGATTAAAGGTTGAAGTGCTTAGATATCAGCATCTTATTATATTTATTAAATATGAACTCGATGGAGACACTTCGTTCATTTCTTATATTCATTGTACGAACGCTAATATACCTTAATAAATATAAAAGAGAATTTCCTTTGAAAATATACGTTAATTTCTATAGCTTTTATTATATTGCAGTCTATAGCCTATTTTTCGCTAAGTATTAGCGAAAAATGAAGTGCATATATTAACAATACATAGTCAAATATTGAACCGTTTAATCTGGAAACCTTTATCTTTTTGTTTTAGAATTCAGTTATTCTATATTATGAATTTATAAGTATTACATTGAACCCAGTTGTCTTAACTGATTCTTAGATTTTAAGAACTCCGAGATCAGTGTATATTGTGTATGTTTTAAAATTGTGCTAAAATAATATCCAGAAATATATTTACTATTTGTTTATAAAGGACTATATTGTCTTTTATGAAAACTCTGAAGTATTTTATAGAAGATTTATTAAAAAAGTAAAATCATAAATTTTAATATCCTTTTATAGATATATAATAAAATTTTTGGATTCAAAAGAATCGTATGAGCTGTTTCTTCTTTATAGAAAGTTGCTACGGGAGGTTTATGGAATATAATATATATTCTTTAATTCCTTATAGTATTAGTCTGTTGTAGTTTTACGGAAAGCTGGTTACTATTATATATAAAACTTTAAATTTACAAATTGGGAATACACCTTCATAATTTCATTTTTAAGCGAACGTTGTCTATTGGAACATTTATGTCATAATAATACATCTATTATAAATAGGTGTATATATCCGTGCAAAGAATCATGCAATATTTACCTATTTTACTTTAAACTTCGGTATCTTTATTATTGATCTGATCTGTCCGAATACAGAAAATGATTATTTGCAATATTAATAAGTGGTTTTATTTGAATCTGTCATATCTATAATAAGATATTTTTAAAATATGAATAAGATTTATATTGAAGAATTCAATAGATTTTGACAATATATTTTTATCAAAATAAAAATATTAAATTTAAAAGTTAAACCATATCATATACTAAAAGAACACATAACTTGACCGTTAGGTTGAAATTGTGTTCTGGAACACAGAACTGGAGAACATAATTTAAATTCTTTTGTATTTTATTCTCTTACTCTTACCAAGTTCTGACTGAATTAGTTTCGAACCGGAACCTTCAGATTTTTATTGTGTTACCAATAAAAATTAAAATTAAAATTGGTCTTATAAAAAAAATTTTTTAAAAATAGTACTAAAAAACAATATATGCATATTTCCCATCATTTTGCCGATTTCCTGCAAAATGTTATCAATTGGAAATATTGCAAATATAATTAATACTAATACTAAATAATGCAATCCATTTGTCCTATCATAATGCGTTTCAAATTGCAAATGAATTAATTAAATAATTCTATACAATAGTAGATAAGATGACTACTATATTATTATTATTTTTATTGCATAAGTCAAACTGTATTGTCAGTTAATTTAATAAAATTCAATATTTGCCAATTTTATCTAAAGCTCCTCTACTGTTACCTGTAAATTATCTAATGAAAATATTTCTCATATCTCGGTCAATAGAGGCAAACTCTATTGTGCTTAAGTCCCACGATTTGTGTGTAGCGTACGAGTATCTTTAATAAAATAAATATCTTCTGACTTAATTTTTGCTGTGTTCATATTCACAATTTGGCTGCGCAGTTGGCTTTAAAGCATTTCCACTACTGTTTCTCTCTCGTATGTTCATAAAATATACATACTTGTATTGGGAGTGTGTACTCGTAAATATTATTTTTGTTTACTTAATTCTTCCGCTGCTACTTGAGTTAGTTTTTCCATAATTAACTTTGGGTATCACTTAATTATATGCGCCATAAGGGGGGTAATTGAATTATTTTCCAGACAATATGGCAATTTGGCAGATGTTTCTAACACCCAAATTATATTAAATCTGCAATAAAAATCAAATGGAAAAAATACCTCACACAAGCTCATTATATTATTTATAAATAGGAATTCATGTTAATGTTTATAGATTTCTGCATGTGGACGTGTGTACGTACAAGGCTGGTAATAAAGTTTTGATTTTAAAAGTCTAAAATTGTATGCTGATAATTGCTCATTGACGTAGATTCTCGAATTCTTAAGAAACTGCTATATAATATATTCAATAAAATTGCATAATATGCTTATTATGTTATTCCTCCTAATAGTGAAATCTAGTTTTTTTAAAAAGCTTCGAAATCTTATTTATTAAAAAAAATCTTTTATTTATTTATTCTTATAGCGTTCTTTCGATAATTAAATAAAATTAATATCTAATTAAAAATTGTATGTCTTATGACAAGAAATCCATTTTGAATAGAAAAGTGGGGTGATAGTGAGGAAATTTTTAAATTTAAATAATTTTTAATCAAGTAAATTCTTGAGTGGACTATAAAGTTGTTTTGGATATCGCCATATATCCATCATTAGCGGTCTTTAGAGACGTCTATACGTTTATTTGTCCGTGATTATTTGACTGCTAGTACCACGTTTAGAACTCCGTCAAATTTAAAACAGGTACCGGTGTGTTAACACACAGAGCCGCCAACGTACACCTCATTTACATTTCTGAAATTTAGTGTTTTATCAATTTTTGTTGTTTATTCATAACCTCTATTGTACTGCCTGCGTTATTTATAAGAATTAATGCATAAACCACAGCTATATAAATTAACTTAATCATTGTAAATTGCTTCTTTTTCATTATATAAAGAAAGTTATCAATATTATTTAATTCCAATCATTAATAAACAGATTTTTAAGAACCATAATATACAATATAAGTATTGTAAGCTGACATGTTAATCGTTAATCATGCCAATGGACAAATAATAGAATTAGTAGTATTCTTTATTAATAATTTAAAAACATACAATAATTATCCATACTTTATACATTATTAAGTAAAAGCTATGACTTAAGGTTGTCAGCTTACAATGGACAAGTATATGGAAGATAAAACTAAAAAGTAATAAATCAGTTCATGTTATCAACTATGTGCTAATAACACTGTTGGGCAAAAGAGTCCCATTTGCTAACTCAGCGAAATATCTTGGTATTGCACTCAATGCGAAATAACGTTGGAAAGAATACATTAAGAATAAAAGAACTGAACTAAACTTGAATCTTATAAGAATGAATTCGATGATTGGATGGAAGTCATGAGTCCATACACAATAAACTTCTCTTACATCAAAAACAAATCTTAAATCAAATCAAATCAGTGATAGCAATATCAATGTCATACAACTGTCCCATAACAAAGTGCTAAGAGGCACTGTCAAGGCTCCCTGATATGCCAGGAATACAGATATTCATCGTGATCTCAAGGTTAATATCATAGCCTAAGAAATTAAAATTCAGAGTAATAGCCACTACAATAGGCCCACATGCCCATGGAGCAAATAATATTCTGAATTTTTCCCGCCTCCTTGCACGTTTAAATCGTAAAAAACCACATGATTTCATTGGTAGTCAAAACAAAAGCGGATATTTTATTGAAGAAAACTGCTCGTTAGTTTATAAACTAGTTGTAGTGTTATCTGACATTGTTGATCCTATTGATGTTTGAAGGGTTATTTGTTAATAATGCTCTTGATTACTAATGTGATGTAACAAAAATTTTGCTAATGCAAACTTTTACCTAACCTATAAGTTTTCCTTTTTTTTAAAAAGTTTGCTATGATTATTGCTATTATTAATAATTTGATAAATTACGTACTGAAACCTAACCACAATTTATTGTATTCTCATCACGGATTCAAAGAATTTCTCTAAATATAATTTTCTCAATAAATTGAAATATCGAAATTTAGTTTACCATTTCTTATATCTTCAACCGATTTATAATGTCCAGCTAGTTATTTATTTCGTTTATGCATCAAAGCCGTACAATCTCCTAGCACGTGTTTTGCGGTCTCTTTCCTATAAAATCTATATGTTCCTTTGAAAAAAATCACAGTTTTGTAAAGCTATAATTTACAGAATCAAAAGAGTGGTATTAATCGTTTCTTATATTTTTTCCATATTCCATATTCATATTTCCATATTGTATACTATTTTCCAAAGACTGATTACCTGTCGTATGGGCTTAAAAGCACGGTATTCTCAACACACCTATCAAGATAATGCGCCGATAAACGTGCCATGGCAAGAAATTCCCAACCCAATGTTCAGAACAACTTATGTTGCGGGCACCTGGATTCCCCTGGTGGGGTGTCGCAAGTGAAAGTTCACTTGCTGCACTAAGATCGTACCCAATTGCCTTTTAACAACAAGTATCTTCGGGTTGGAATATTCAACCCGAAGATAGAATTTATGTGGGATGTTCGAAAAAGTTGATCAATTTTTGTTAAAGATTCCAAATGCTAACTTAGTTTCGATAAATGTTTTGCATGGTCCATTGACTGCAGCTAGCATTTGTGATGTACCTAGGTGCCCAAACAATAGAAATTAGAAACACCCTCAATGGTTGAGGTTAAGTATTTTAAAATTTAATAAGAGCAGTTCGCATTAATTGTTATTGATTACTAGTCCTGTTTAGTACTATTTACTTGTGTCTCAATTATTTATTAACATTAAAGATTTATAGATTTAAGCGAATATAAGACATATATAAGACATTTGTTACCATTACAATATCCGTTGTTGTTGTTGTAATGTAAAGATGGGAATCTGAGTTCGTTACTATACAAATACGTATATTAAGATTGGATAAAAAGGATAAGTAAAAGCGGACAAGTGGAAATTGTGTAAATTGATAGCGTTATACAGGTCGCTAACCTTGATATATAAGGCGAACGTAGTAACTTGCCTTTTATCAAGGTTTTGATATTATGCGGTTGACGACAGTGTTAGATAAGAGCGAAGAGTATATTCAGCTTCAGATTTTATTTTGATTCGGCCGTAAGTTTGTCGCGCATGAGGCACTGAACAATAGGCATTTGTATAAAGTCAAAGAACATATTTTGTGGGCGACTGCAATTTATAATCAACCTTTTGAATCATCAAAATGTTTTTTTTTGCCAATCTACAATTTTAATAATTCGAATTAAGATAAAAATAAATTAAGATAAAATTTTTCTTAGCTTTAGTAACTTAGTCATTCACAGCATTTTGATATTATAATGTATAAAATTACTTTTATTATTGTGGAAACTTATTTCAATAATTATTAAATAACACACATTTTTTCTACTTATAGGTGAACACATCGAAGACAAACCTCATAAGCGAAATTCAGTTCGCCTAACTATACGCAAAGTTATGTATGCACCGTCTAAAGCCGGTGAGCAGCCTTCCATCGAAGTTAGTAAAGAGTTCATGATGAAACCGAATAAAATTCATCTTGAGGCCAGTTTAGACAAAGAACTTTACCATCATGGTGAAAAAATTTCAGTTAATGTCCATATAGCAAATAATTCAAATCGTACGGTTAAAAAGATCAAAGTCTGCGTACGTCAATTTGCTGATATATGCCTGTTTTCAACGGCGCAATATAAATCGGTTGTTGCTGAAACCGAATCCGAAGACGGTGTACAAGTACAACCAGGTTTTACACTATCCAAAGTTTTTGAGTTATGTCCATTATTGGCTAACAATAAAGATAAATGGGGCCTTGCGCTTGACGGCCAGTTAAAGCACGAGGACACAAATCTGGCGTCAAGTACGCTTATAACGAATCCAACACAACGCGAAAGTCTTGGCATTATTGTCCACTATAAAGTTAAGGTTAAACTTTTAATAAGTGGGCCATTATTAGGTGGTGATCTTGTAGCCGAACTACCATTTACATTAATGCATCCGAAACCAGAAGAAGACGATAATCCATTACTATTAGCAGACAAATCGCCGCGGCAAAGTATAAGGGACGCACAACTTATTGCAGTTGGTGAGGCTGGCGCATGTGGCGATGCAAATCAAGTCGATGTACCCACTACAAATTTAATACAATTGGACGAGGATGATGCACAAGATGATGATATTATTTTTGAAGATTTTGCGCGTTTGCGATTGAAGGGCGCTGAAACAGAAGCCTAGGGTGTATAGTATTGCATACATGCTTAAATAAACAAAAAATTTTCTCGATAAAATTGTTAATACAAATTTTATGAGATATATATTTATATAATTTTTTAATGGCTTTAGTATCTCTGTATTTTCAAATTCATAACTTCATATGTAAAATTGGTGTTCATTGAAATTGTGTGGGTATTCTAGACTATATATACCAAAAAAAAAATCAAGTAATAAGTATATGTAAAAGTTATAACAACATTTTTATGTAAACGCTATGTTTAGTGTCTAATGAATAATTATTTAAATTGCATATTAAATAAATTTATTGTTAGCATTGATATAAAATGGATGTTTAACATCAAGATTCGATGCTAAATAGCGATTACAGGTTGAAACCATAAATGTAATTGCGACTCAAAGATTAAGCGATTAAGCGCACATATAAAAAATATGCAAGAAAACCAAATTAATTGAATGTTTATGTATCTAAACATATATAAAAAAAATATTTCGATAAAAACTTTTAAAAAATTAAAAAAATAATTAGTTGAACTAATAACTGCAATATTAAAGACGAATAAAACTGCATTTAAAGCATATGTATATGTATATATATATACTTTTATTTTCTTTATAATTTTAAATGATTATTAAATGATTTTATTTTTGTGCAAAGCTTTAATCAATAATTTTAATATTAAATTTTTATAAATATGAATACGAATTTTTGCAAATTATAAATATTAAATTTTGATATGTTAAAAATGATAAATTTTAATATTACAAAGTATGAAATAATTTTTTTTTTTTGTTTTAATTTACATTCCACAATTTGTTTTCATTATTTAAATTATGTAGCTCACTTATGCAATTATTAAATTTTAAATATATATAATAATAAACAATGATAAAGTTAAAACAGATTCTGTAAACTTATAAACTTAAAATCTGACAAGAGCTCAAAACTAGTTTACCATTAAACATTTTTTAAAATATAAACTCAAGTCAAATGTGTATATGAAAATTATAAATAATAATAGATATATATATTTAAATATATGTATATATATAAATCATTGTTATTATTTTATTAATTAAATGTTTTTTTGCTTTATGTTTCATATGTATAATTTCAAAATGCCAATATCAATGTAAACAAATATACCTCGCTAGTTGGAGTATTTGTGTAATAGTTATTTTAAAATTAAAATTTTTATTTTCATTACGCAGCAATATGATTTATTATTTTTGTTTTATATATATATATTTATGTAATTTAGAAAAAAACCTTTAATAAATTTACTGGGTTTACATTATATATCAATAATAAGTTTTAAATAATTATTTTCATTAAAATTGTTAAAGCATAATTTTGTGAAAAAATATTTGTTCAAATTTAATTAATTTAAATGTTTAAATTAATAATTTAAATTATATAGCTGTTTTCACATAATTTTGTTCATTTATTCAAAAATTAAAACACTTAAAAAATCAAAAAACTGATTAATAACTTAACTGATAAATTAATAATAGACTAGAATAAATTACGAACATTGTGATAAAAAAATATAGAACACAAATCTAATAGAAAAGAGATCGGATTTATTTATTGCATTTATAAAAATAATTTGTATTAAATATTACACTTTGATTGAAAAATTTATTTTATTTACAAGATTGTTGTACATTAAATAGTTATATTAATAAATTTGAGCAATATATTATAATATATTATAAAAACCATAGACTCTCCTTAATTAGCACTCCTTAAATAACTTTAATAAAATTTTGTTTGTAACATCAAATTTTATTTTATTTTTTTTTTATTATATATAATGTGAAAATAGTAAATTTTTTGAAGTAATTTAATTATGTAATTATTATTTATTAATAAAAATAATGTAAAGAAGATTTCACATTTATAAATATTCTTTTAAATAAAATATACACGCATACAGTGCTTGTCTTCAACTTAAAAAAATTTAAGTTTTTTATTTTAATTTTATTTAAGTAATTGTTCGTCATATAACATTAAAAAATATATGCAACTATATTTTTTAATGTTATATGACGACATTTTATTAATTCTTTTTCTAAGCTAACAATACTATATTTTATTATAAGTTTATTGTATTTCTATTAAGTTTTTAAGTATGTAATAAAAAAATTTTTATATATATGTTTATATATTGTATAATTTGTATAAATATATACATAAATTTATAAATTTATTTTGATTTATATAGATCTTTAAAGCATACAGGAATATTTATATTTTAATTTCGATATTTTGATTGATTTTGATGTATTATCAGGAACTGTATACTATATATGTAGCCAAGTATTAATAATATTTAACATTATAATATTTATAATTTATATTTATAAATTTATAATTTATGCTTATTTATAATATTTAATATTATTATATAAAATATATTATATTTTTTTTTATTGTTTGTTTAGTCTAATAAAATAAAAATATTACAGTAATTTATATATTTTTAGTAATATTGTATTGTTTATATTGTATGTGATATGTAGTTAATATATATTTAAAACATGTATATTATTTACATCGAAATACATATGAGTATAGAATAATTATTTTATAAAAATAGTTTAAATTTTTATTTGTTTTTGTTTTTCTAATTTTTTCTAATTTTTTATAAATACTTTCAGAACTTAATATTCTATTATAGGAATTGCTTTTACATGAATGCATTAAAAAAAAAAAAAATTAAACATCAAATTTATTTTTACTCTTTTTCTGCAAAACATTTAAGTATAATAGTTATTTCGAAAAATTATCATTTACAAATGTTGATATTTAATTGATATAGTTCTTTCAAATAAATAATTTCTAAATAATGCTGTGTATTTCTGTAAAAAAAATTGAATTCTTAAAACTTTGTTCTTAAATTAATATTTTAAAAGTTTTATTTTTTAGTTTTTATTATATTGTAATTAAAAAATTTTTAGTACTCAAATTCAATGTAAAAATATATATATTTAATGGCTAATATTAATTAATAATAAATGTATGTTTATTGCAATGAATTTTAAACTGTGAGAGAAACTTAATTATTATTAAATGCGAGTTAATTATACTTATATATATTTATATTAATTAGTACAAATTTCTTTAAGAAGAACTCGAAATGTTTTAAATTATCAATAGACTTTTTGTTATATATGACTTTCATTTTATTATAGTTTAAAAATATATTTTAATTTAAAAAAAACAATTATATTATAAAGCTCATGAGAAACTCATGCATTTTATTGTTTATATGCATTTACTTATATGTATATTTATTTATAAAAAATTTGTCAATTTTTTTTTTACTAATTATACAGAGTTAGTTTTTATTTTATAAAATGTGTAATATTTTCATATATATATATATTTTCGAGAATGTTTTTTTAACTTTTATGAATTGAAGCTTATGTGAACAATTCAAAAATATATAATACTTAAAATATTTATTGAATTTAATTTTTTTGAAATATGAAATTAAATTTAAATTTTGAAACTTTTGCATTCGATTATTTAAAAACTTTAATATTTCTCAATTTTTATACATATTCATAAATTATTCGCAAGAGCTTTAAATAATATATACTATTTTTTTTTTTATTTTTTTACCTTTTTCACATATAGATTACTGTATTTTGATTAATTTTATATGTCATTACTAACATAAACGAAATCGTGTCTTTAATATTTGCTCTAAATTTTGGAAAGCTTAAATCATAAAATACATCATATATGTAAAAATGAATTAACTAAACATCAAAATAGAGAATCGAATCCTTTGTAGTGTAGAAACTTTATGTCCATAAAAGTAAAGTTAGTTATTATACAAAAAAAAAACTATTACATAAATAAATAGCAATAAATACTCAGTTTTGTAATAAGTGCCACCACTTTTATAGTTATAAAATACGTAGTAACACCGGAAAATTTATTAATATAAAATGCATAAATTAATTTTATAAAAACAACAATATCGTAACAGAACAAAGTGCATTTACTATACATGTTTTATAAGTAAAAATAAATACAATATATTTGAATAGTCTCAGTCAAATAATAAAATTGTGTAAACAAAAAACAATTGGATAAAATATAGTTTATTAACATATTCTTATTAATTTGAACCAATAATACAAATTGAAAACATCGACATCAATTTTTAATATATATCTTTGACGGTTTTAAGAATAAGATTTTAAATATATTTGAAGTGAATGTTTTTAATTATTTTTATATGTTTAAAGTTCATTATGTTTTTTTTATTATTTTTATTTATTTATTTTTATTTGCAACCTAAATATTGATAACAATTATTAATTACAAACTAATTAATTAATAATTAATAATCAAAACTAATATAAATCCAAACTTAATATTTTTGAACGCTTCAAGTTACATGTTTTGAATATTTTTTAAATATATTCTATAAAAACCAAAGTAGTATTCCTGTCTTCATGTTGTGGATAAAGTGATAGAAATATATATATATATATATAGTATACTAGTAATAGTCGAAATGTGCAGAAAACAAATAATGTCTCATTACTCAATCTATTAATGTTATAGATTATAAAATTTTGCTAATAAAATTTTTTTATCATTTTAAATATATAAATCGTAACCACTACCATTTAGAAATTTTATTTAATACAATATATAAAGAAAAAATAAAAATAATTTTAATATTTGGATAATGACTTTTTTAATAATATTAAATTTTTTTTATTATTTAAAAATTTGTGTAATTTTAAGTTTTAATGAATCATAATTTTAAAAATCTTATACTTATTTATTTACAAAATATAAATAAATATAAAAATTATAATTAGTAATAAGTAAATTGGTATTGTGTAAACATTTTATAAATTATATATTAAACATTAATGTCTGTTGATATAAGTAATTAGAAGAGTATACAAATTTTATAAACTATATAATTTAAATTAATTTATTTATTAATATTAATTTAAATTATCTACTTATTAGAAAAGAAACTAATAGAAAGAGAGTAATATAATAAAGAAGTAAGACTATACTAGACTGAATATTAACAGAACTCTAAAATTTAGTTTTTGTTTCAAATATTTGTTAAATATTATAATTATTATTTTTAAATAAAAAGTAGATATGAGTGTTTTGTAACTATAACGTTATATAATGGTAATAGTTAATAACAAATAATATATGTTTATTTATATATAAAAAGAAAAATTTTTAAAAGTAAATATTATTATAGAAGATTGGATTATAAATATATATGTGTTCTTAGAATGCTTTCTAGAGTTCTGGAAAAGTTTTCAGAAAGTTTTTTAGAGTTTTGGAGAAAGTTTTAAGTTTTCTAGAATTCTAAAGAAAGTTTTAAGCATATTTTCTAGAACTCTTCAGAAAGTAAATGGATTTAATTTGGTGTCTTCTGGAATTCTGGAAAATTCTTTTATACTGCAAATGTAAAATTCATTTTAAAAATCTTTTGTAAGTTTTATAAAATGATTAAAATTAATATTTATATCATCCACCTAGTAATTATACATAGTAATAAAATTTAGAATTATAATTAA